TCCCTAGTTGGCAACTCTCATCAGAGCCCTTCAATACCTTCAGGGAGGATCCATCTTCTGGGAGGTTGATCCTCATCATGTTTAGGCCTGAACAGATTCTGTCTGTCCCGTTCTTCTTTCTTCCAACCTCAGGTTATCCTCACCTTCTCCCACTGCTATGAAACTCAGAAACTGTGTTCAGAGTACAGAGGTCACGGTTTCTCCCACTGGTGGAGTGTATCAATGATCTTACCTCCTCTGGGAATGAGATGAAGCGAGAAGAGATTCGGGTAAATCTAGCCTCGTGGGAAGAAGCGTTACTTGATGGTGAAACGCACCATTGGGGAATGGGGTGGAAGATACCTCTCAGCATGACACAGGATGTCAGCTTCATATTCCCCACAGATAACTTAGAGCCACTACACACTTTGTATTTCTCTCTACCTCCTCTAACTTCTTTTTGGAAATTTAAAATAGTTTCCCTACTTTACTAGTTGGCTTTAAAGTCAGCCTGATTTTTCAATTTCATCACTTCCAAAATTTACAGAGGGATACAGCTCACCTACCTAGAACCCAGAAAAGGAACAATTGGTCCTCACTGACTGCCAGGAGGTCCTCTGGCAGTCACCAGCCACTGTGCCTCAGTGGGCCACCTGTGCACCTGCATGTCACGATACCCCTCCTCCCGCCAGTGACAGGAGGTCCTGTTTGTCGAGTTAGATTGTGTCTCTGGAGGCAATCAGAAAGGAAATGAATAACAGCGACAGAGTTCAAACACAAAATGAGAAAATCCTTGAAAAATTACTCAGAAATACAAAAGAAAAAGTAGGACTGAGAGTCATATTTATTAATCATAAGGAAACCACAAAATTGAAAGTGAGTTAACTCATTCATATATTAATTCAGTGAGTATTTTTGCTTAGTCATACCAAAATAATTCATTTTTCATTGTTACAAAAAATTATTTGCACCTAAAAAGTATGTTCATGCCTTTTCCCCCTCTTATTCCTCTTAAAATTCACTCTAAGCTCACCCACACGAGCAGTGGGGTGCCACTTATGGATGAGGCTGGGACCACATGGGAGGTCCAGGTTCAAATCTGGACCAGACGGGAACAGGCCAGGGGCAGTGGCTGCCTGCCTAAGGTCCTGAATAGCTGGGAGGCTGAGGCAGAGGATCACAGGGGGGAGAGCCTACCAAGGATGTTGGCCTCAGGGGTCAGCCAATAGCGTGGTGGTCAAAGCAGATGGAGCCCACATGGCCAACTACGTAGTTTGAGTCCTAGACCTGGCAGCTTGGTAAACATGCCAGGCATATTTGTGCGTGTGCCCAAAATCCCAAAAGAAGAAATGGAGATAGAATTACAGAGCCATCCTCCCTGGGGTGTACTTTGTTACTTTTTTCCTCAATCTCTCTCTCTCTGGAAAACAAATGAGAGAGAGAGAGAGAGAATAGCCTTTAAAACACACACACACACACACACACACACACACACACACACACTCAAAATGCCTTTCTCTCTCCCTCCCCTCCTAGTCTTCCCATTCTTTCATTAAAAAATAAAATCCATTATCTTTAAAATTCCATTCTCTTACTTGAAATTGCAGGTGGTATGTTCAGCAGATATACCCAAATTTCTTTTATCTGACTAAATAGAGATGTCAAGTCTAAGGAATAACTGCCATACCCAAATGCAACCCTGATTCCATAATGTCAAGATAAAAACACAGGCACGAAAAGTCAATAAAACTCAATAACCATGCAAAAACCAGCTAACAGGCATCTGAGCGTGTGTTAACATGTAAAGGGATATCAAGAAGAAATTACTTTGTTTCCCATTTATCATAAAACACACAATGAATCGCTGTAATATACAGATTGAAAATTTTTTTCACAGCTCTTTCAGTTTCTTTTCTCGTTACTACCGAAGTACGGGATTGGAAGAGTGTAATAGCTACAGTAACATTCATAATAATTTCATGGGCAATTGTATTTATTTTAAAAGCCTCCATTACTTAAAAATGCATATGCCTTTCTTTATATTCCCAAATCATCTCTGATACTGTCCTTGCATTAACTCAGGGGAATCTATAAGTCTGAAAAATCGAAAATTGAGATTTGTTTTCAAGGTAGGATGGTCAAAAGGTCGAGTAATTAAGAATTCACTGAGGTATTGCTGCCTCCTTTGCTAAAATCTTGATCAATGCCTCGCAGCTGCTGAGACCTGAATAAATAACAAGAATCTCTGGTTATTTGGTTATTTAGTCTACTCATCATAAATAATTTAATCCTCCAGAAAACAGTCATACATTGAATTCAAAATGCAGATAACACAAACTGTCTCAACTACCTTAATGGAAAAGTGCATCTTGTTAAGATTAAGTTCTGGTGGGACTAGCAGACGGTGTAATGGCTATGTTGCTGGACTCCCACGTGGTCGACAGTGGTTCAAATCCTGGACCGAGAGGCTTAAAACTCATGCTGAGTGTGTGTGCATGTGTGCCCAAAATCCCAAGAGGAGAATGGAGAAGGGATTGTGGCATGACTATCCCCCTGGAAGGTGATTTCTTGCTTTCTATCTCTCTGTCTCTCCAGCAAACACACATGCCCTATAGCAAAAATCTCTCTTAAAAAAAAAAAACAAGATTAAGTTCTCGCAACAGCCCAGAGTGAACGTTTTTTCCTGTATGGTGTGCAGGAGTGCAATAATTCTTTGGAAACCAGTTGGAGAAAGTACAAAAAATATGCCATATCCCATGAGTCAAAAACTTCACTTTGAGGAAACTAATTTACAGAAATGCTTAATTTAAAAATTCTATGCATGCAAAGTTACATGAGGTGAACTTAAAAATGTTCAATTAGGTGCCAGCAGATGGCACAGTGGTTATGTTGCTGGACTCCCACATGGCCAACTGTGGTTCAAATCCCAGACCTGGTGATTTGAAACTCATGATTAGGCACATATGCATGTGTGCACAAGCTCCTGGGAAGAGAATGGAGATAAAGGAATTGTGGTGTGGCCATCGCCCCTGGGAGGTGATTTCTCACTCTCCCTCTCACTGTCTCTGTCTCTCTGTGCACCCAGTGCATGCACCCTAAAAAAAATAAAAAAGTTCAATTAAAGGAGTAGAATCATGGAATGAATTCACTATGCATAGTTTTTTTTTTTTTCATAATACCCAGTTTTCATGAATTTTTTGTTTGTTTGTCAATGGCTTTTATGCAGTGCTGAGAATCTGGGTCAAGAATAACTCAGATCAGTAGAAACCAGTCACAACTGGCTCAGGATAGTTCAGACCAGTTGAGACCAGTTCCGACTAATCACATGTATGTCAAAAGTGATTCGTGTGTCAGTGATACACACGTATCACTTTTGACATGTGAGTGACACATGCCAGTTTTGTCACATGTATCATTTTGATATGAGAATCACATGTGTCAGTTTTATAACACATGTCAGCTTCTGGACAAGCCTTGGTGATGCAGTAGTCACTCAATGCTCCATTATTCTGAAGCCATACAGGAAGGTCCCATGTTCATGTCCTGAGGTCTCCCTGTACATATTAGGAGTGCATTTATGTCCCTGTGACCTGGGCTGGATGAGGCTGGGGGTGGATCACAGCATGAGAACCCTGTTAGGGGTCTGCCTGTTTTTTTTCTCTCTCAGAAGAAATAAACTTTTAAAAATAAAAGAACTGGGTTCTAGGCTTTATAAGACAAGTTACTTAAAAATTCAACATGCAATCTTCTGACTGAGTCTCTCATTCCCATAATTTCTTCTAGCTTGGGGGTTAGGTGTATGCCTTCAGGAATCAGGGTTGTATTTTTAGTCCAATCAAATAAATGAGAATGTTACTTTATACCTCATGATTCAGGACCCAGTCACCTTGATACATTGATTTTGATGACACTTAAATTATATTTTAAAAACAGATCTGATTTAAGCATTTTTTCCCAAGTTGATTTGGAGTAATTAAAAAATTTTCTCCTGCAGTTTTTCTGAGACAAAATAAAATTATGTAACTCTTAACCATCACTCACCTTCACTGCCTTATTCCTTAGTGAACTGGGCACATGTATCTGTCTTTCTGCTAAGGCTTCTCTATCAGCAATTTATCATTGCATGGGAAAGTGGAATAAGGAAGTCTGGAAGGTGCCAGACAGCAGTAAAACTCTACTCTCTGCAAAGCTGACCCACGTGGGAAGGTTCCAGGTTCATGTCCAGAGACCTTCCTGAGTACATAGGTCATGCATGTGCATACAATCAGGGCCAGATGAAGCTGGGGTGGATTGCAGTCAGGACCCTGCTGAGGGAAGGTCTCTATCTCTATCTCTATCTCTGTCTCTCTCGCTTATAAAATAAAGAAGGAAACTTAAAAAAAAAGAAATCTGTGTAGATGAATATAAATTATTAAAGGGAATAGAAATAAAGAACATTTTCCAACTCCAAAGGTCAAAATGGAAAACTGTTCATTTTCCCAAGCATCAAAGCATCATAATGCCTTTAGCCAAGTGTCTAAGCACCACACAGAGAAAGCCAGGTGTCACATGGTTTAGCAGGGCTTCTGTCCCAACCTAAGTGGCAGACATGCTGGACACACACAGGAGTGCCTAGAATCTAAGGAGATGGAGAATGGGAGAAAAAGGGATTGCAGCATGATCAGTGCCTGCTGGAGGGCTTTTTCTGTCTATGTGTGCACATGTGTCCTATAATATTTTAAGAGAAAAAAGAAAAGCAAGCAACGCAATGTAAAAGACATCTTAACACAGACATGGGGCAGTGGCTCCCAAGGCATTGTATTCCGGAGGTAAATTCACCCCTTCCTTACCATCGCCCCTTAGTAGATGCATCACTACACCATCCGATACACAGGGTCACCAACTTTCAGGCTTCCAGTTTTTTCCACAGAATAATACACCCCAAAAAGTGGGGATGACTTGTATATTTTCTTCTCAGAAGGATCACACAGGCGGTAGCTAAAAGAAGCAAAAATCCCTCATCAGGCCAAAAAAAAAAAAAGAAAATGTCAATCTAAGTGCTCTCAGAATTCAAGTTTTCATTCCCAGGTTATTTGTGAGTGCACATCCAGCCTTTTCTAATATGCTGACAGAAAAGTCTGGAGATAACTGGCCAACACGCTGGTTTCCCAGATAATCCTGACAGTCAAAGTATAAAATAAATACTTAGTTGACGTGTCTTCAACTTCACAATGCACTGAAACAAATGGTTATGAAATTGCAAACTAGAGCTGCCCTAATCCACCCCATTTCTTCTGATTCATGTATGTTAGTATTATTCTTTCAACCTGTTTGAAGTTTATTAAGTCCAAAGTGTCATTCATTAGTGAATAGAAATTAATACAGAGAGAACGGTTGTCAAGTGGGTCTAGACCATTACTGAAGTTAATTTTTTTAAAGCTCTGTGTGAAAAGAACATTAACCACACTGCATCTTAAAAATCAAAAATCAGGGGACCGGGAACCAGCAGTTAGCGTAATGGCTATGTCGCTGGACTCCCACGTAGTCGACCGCGGTTCGTGTCCCAGACCTGGTGGCTTAAAACTCACGCCGGGCGCGTGTACGTGCGTGCCCAAGATCCCGAGAGGAGAATGGAGGAGAAGGGATTGCGGCGTGACCATCCCCCCTGGGGGGTGATTTCTCGCTTTCTGTCTCTATGTCTCTCTCTGTCTGTCTGGCGAGCGCACGCGCCCTACAGTGAAAATCTCTCCAAAAAAAAAAAAAAAATCAGGGGACCAGCAGGTGGGGTGGTGGTTAAGGCGCTGGACACTCCCACATGGCTGACCATGGGTTGAGTCCCAGACCTGGTGGCTTGCTCTTTCACTTTCCCTCTCTCTGTGTCTTTCCCTGGTCAAATTAAAATAAAATGAATGAATAAATAAATAGAATAAATAATTCTTTAATAAAAAAATAAAAAACCAGGGCCAGCAGGTGACATGGAGGTTAAAGCTATAACCCTCATGGCTGACTGCGCAGTTTGTTTCATACCAGCAGCCTGAGAATCACACAGGGCACGTGTGTGCATGTGCCCAAAATCCTGAGAAGAGACTGGAGAAGGGGTGATTTCCAACTTTCTCTGTGTCTCTCTCCCTGGCAAGAGCATGTGTCCTATAGCAAAAATTCTAAAAACTTAAAAATTAAAAAACATAAATAAATTAAAGACAAAATACAAAACAGAATTGTAAATCTGAAGGTTTCATGAAATAACCTCTTCTCTAATCTAAACTTTTTGGAAACAACAAAATAGAAGAAAGGGAAACAAAACAGATACCACTCTTTTTAGGTTTAAAACAATCTACACTGAGAACTAAAATCAATTAAAACGTCTTTAGAAAACAAAAGAAAAAAAAAGCTGACATAAAAGAATCCCCTGGATAAACTCTGACAGCTCATTACAATTTTTCTACTACATCATTATGCATTTTCAATTATTCTCAATTACCTTGGCATTGATTCTAAGAAAGGAATCTGAGTTCGAATAAGCATAATTAGTCTTTGAGGCTTCAACTTGGAAATATACATGCTATATTATAAAAAACTGATAAGATGGATAAAAAATTTCAAAATAGAGTATTATGTGGTTAAAAGTTTATCAAAAGCACTAGAGGGTCAATCCAGAAAAGAAAAGAAAGCAACAAGTATTCACTGGTAGATACAAATCAACCAGCCAGCAGAGTGAAGGTGCTCCAGATAGAAAAGTCATAACCACATTAGAGCAGACACAGCAACCTAAAACCACAGGTAGCTCGGGGACAGGGTCAATATTAATACACCAGATATTCTCGTGTCCTACCTCTTCAGGGTTTCCAGTGGCTCCTTCCTGTCTAACACACCAGTATCTGGGTCCACCGTGGTCATAATGCACCTGTCCCATAATAACCAAGGGTTAGAAAATGGTTAAGAACAAAGGAGGGCTGGCCCCATAGCCTAGTGGTTAAGGGACCAGCCACGGCTCAAATTCAGCCCCATCACCTTGAAAAATACGCCAGCACATGTCTGTAAGTGCACAAAATCTTGACAGGATGGAGAGATGGAGGAAGAAAGGATTGAAACATGACCCCATTAGTGAGTGCTTCTTCCAGCTTACTCCTATCTCTCTGTTTCTCTCTGGCAAGTACATGTGCCCTCTGTCGATTAAAAAATAAAATATGGCTGATACTGCTAAATTAATAGGCTGGTTGCCTGAGCTGACTAGATGCCTGAGGCTGCAGTGACATCAACCATCAACATTGATCAAGTCTTTTTTAACAGGCATTGCTATATAAAAAAGACACTCTTGGTGGAATACACACTAGTCTAACTATCGGCCGGGACCAGCTCGGCATGAACTCGTTTCTCTGAGTGGGGAAGGCTGTGAATTGGAAATAGATGCAATAACAAACACACAAAGACACACAAGTATAGAAAAGAGAGGATTCGGTGGGCATAGCTTCTCTGATGGAGAAGTTGCGACTAGAATTAGCTTTAGGTTTATTTTTTTAAAGGGCAGAAAATGGGGGAATGAGAAAATGGGATATAAGAGGCATGGGGAAGAAGGAAGTAGAATGCAAAGAGAATAAGGGAGGAGAAACTGGAATGCAAAGCTAGTTGGTTTTGTATGTAAATTGTTTGAAGATGTGAAAATGACTGGCGGTATATAATTTCCCTGATCTTTTTGGGGGGACAATTTGATAAACGTATGTGACTTTTTTTAGCCCGATAGTATCGGAGTATTGGGTATTAATAATAACAGGAACACAACCATTGACAACAGGTAGATACTGCTTTTATATGTAGATGCTTTTTAATAGCCTTGCTATAGTACCTTACAGAAGCACATTTTTGCATGTGTCTACAGGCCACATGTTTTAATCACATGTTTTCAGACTGACTGCTCTCTACAACTACCCCTAATTTAAAGTTGAAGAATAGGAGAGTCAGAAAGATGGCTAACTAGAAATACCCACCGCAGCATCTCTCTGGGAAGAAAGGCTAAAAAAGTTGAGTAAATGCCTATACTTCCACCAGAAGAGTTGAGGCGAGACTGATGAAGTGTAAGAACAAGATTGCAGTAGTTTGGGGAGCACTAAGACTCAACTTGGAAAAGTAAAAATGGTTCAGTCATCTGAATTTAGGCTCAGGAGCCCTCCCCGTCATGGAGGGAAGGAGAGAGGAACTCTTCTTCAGAACTCTGAATTCTAAACTCTCACCTCAGATCTCAAAACTCCTCACTTACAGAAGAACAGTGAAATGAGCATGGAGCTAACATGAGATTAGGGAAGAACACAGATATATCACCTCAGAGAATATTCTGAAACCCTCCAGTAAAATCATTTACAATAATACAATAAAAATATGAAAAATTGAAAACAATACCAAAAAATGGAAACATATCCCTTGTTCTTACATTAGAAGATTCAATATAATTAAAATGTCACTGTCATCCAAAGTAATTTACAAATTCAGTGCAATTCTTTCCAAAATACCAGTGACATTTTATACAGAAATAGAAAAAAAAATCATAGAATTTGTCTGGAATCTAAAAGACCCTGTAAGACCAAGGCCATACTACAAAAAGAATAAAGTTGGAGAATTCTTACCATCCAATCTCAAAACAAATCACAAAGCTATAATAATCAAAATAGAATGGTACCAACACAAATATGGACCAAAAGAATAGAGAATCCAAAAATAAACTCAAGAACATACAGCCAACTGATTTGTGACAAAGGGCACAAGACAATCCAATGGAGAAAAGAAATGGTGCTTTTCAACAAATGGTGCTCGGGAAACTGTATATCCACCTACAGCAAAAATAAACTAGACCCCTATCTCTCATCATTAACAAAAATCAACTCAAAATAGGTTAAAGATTTAAAAGTAAAGTTCCAAGCTATTACACTACTTGTGGAAAATACTTGTAGACATTGGAGTAGCAAAGATTTCTTAAATAAAATCCCTGAAGCACAGGCAACAAATCCAAAAATAGACAAGTGGAATTACATCAAGATAAAAAGCTTCGGAACAGTAAAGGAAACAATAAATCGAGTAAAAAGACAACCCACAGAATGGGAGAAACTATTAGCAAGGCAATACTTCAGATAAGGGATTGATAACCAGATTATAGAGACCACTTAAGCAACTCACCGGCAAAAATCTAATAATTCAACTTAAAAATGGGCAATCTGTCTGAATAGACAACTTTCAAAGAAGATATACAAATGACCAAAAAGCATATGAAAAAGATGTTTGGGATCAGCGGGTGGTGTGGTGGTTTAAAGCACTGGACTTCTACATGGCCAACCACAGTTCCAGTCCTGGATCTGGCAGCTTGCTTTCTCACTTTCCATCTTTTTCTTTCTCTGTCTCTCTCTCTGGTGAGCACTCATGTCTTATAGCAAAAATATAATAAGGAGAAGAAGAAGAAGAAATAAAATTTTTTAAAGAAGTCCAACATCTCTTATCATAAAGGAAATGAAAATCAAAAACACAGTGAAGTTAGAATGGCTACGAAAATCAAAAACACAGTGAAGTCAGAATGGTTAGGAAAAAACAAGAACGAGAACTAGCGAGCTTGTAAAGAAAAAGGAACCCTTATACACTGCTGGTGGGAATGCAAACTAGCATAACAACTGTAGAAAACAACATTGAGGTTCCTCAAAAATTTACAAAAAGAAGGACCAGCAGTTAGCATAATGGCTATGTTGCTGCACTCCCACGTAGTCGACAGCAGTTCAAATTCCGGACCCGGTGGCTTAAACTCACGCCGGGTGCGTGTGAGTGTGCCCAAGATCCCGAGAGGAGAATGGAGGAGAAGGGATTGCGGCGTGGCCATCCCCCCTCGGGGGTGATTTCTTGCTTTCTGTCTCTCTGTCTCTCTCTGTCTGTCTGGCGAGCGCACGCACCCTATAGCGAAAAACCTCTCCAAAAAAAAAAAAAAGTGGATAAATCTAAAAGATTTAATGTTAAGTGAAATAAGCCAGACTATGAAAGACAAACATGATATGCACTGTTTAACATACACCAAATGTGAGACCAGCAGCTAGCATAATGGTTATGTCACTGGACTCCCATGTAGTCAACTGCAGTTTGAGTCCCAGACCCGGTGGCTTAAACTCACAACGGGAGGAGAATGTAGGAAAAGGGATTGCGGCATGGCCATCTCCCCTGGGGGGTGATTTCTCACTTTCTGTCTCTGTCTTTCTGGAGAGTGCACAAGCCCTATAGCAAACACCTCTCAAAAAAGCAAACAAACAAACAAACAAAAACCAGACACCAAATGTTACACTCTATGACAGAAATAGAAAGATTCAAAGACATACAAGTAGAAGTGACAGATGTAGGTACCAGGGAGGATGATGGGTTGAGGGGAGGGACTTAAGAAACAAATATTTAAAGGACATGAGAATTCAGGTTGGAGCCAGCAGGTGGCATGGTGTTTAAAGGCGCCAGACTCCCACATGGCCAACCGTGGTTTGAGTCCCAGACCTAGCAGCTTTCTTTCTCCTTTTCCTCTCTCTCTGAGGTCAAATTAAAAATAAATAAATAAATAAGTAAAGTTACATAAAATAATTATTTAGAAAAAGAATTTAGGTAAATAGTGAAGACAGATAGGTTATATAATAGAGTAACAGAACATAGCTAAAACAGGGGTGTTGTCAGTCATGTCTATGTGTCTGTATGTATAGTATATATATTAGTAGAATGAAAATTGAAGTAGCGCAACGTAATGTAATATTCTTTGTTCAAGATGATCAATATGGTAATAACCTTGATTTGATCATTCCACACTGCATGCATACTTTGAAAAACCACATTGAACCCCACACATATGTACAATTAAATGTAAATAAGAAATTATAAAATAAAGAAATAAAATTTAAAAGTACTAATGGGCCAGCCACATTCAGAGGCCAAGTCTAGTAAGAATCCTTACCTGGGGCAAGACATTGCCTTTTTCATTTCTACATCACCAATTAGAAGTTCATCCCAGGTATCCTATAAGAAAAGGGAAAGTTATCTTTTAAATTAAGTCTTCATTAGTCATGAAGTCAGTTATTTGTAGGCTGGTACCATTAGGTTGTCAGAAAAATCATGATGTATTTTTGCATAGAAAAACAGAAAAGAAAATATGTCATGACCTTTCCAACAACTCAATAATTATGAAACTAGCAGAAGAAAGCATCTCAAGAAGACACCAAAAAAATACCTCCCAAAGAAATTCAAAAGAAGGTCGCATGTTGGTGAATCACCCTTGTCTCACAGTCTCCAAACCCTGATTCTGGTAGTACAGCAAGAACCGACCTTCTATTGGGCATGTCATGAGGATAGTAAATTAACTGGAAGGCTAATTCACGGGTACATACTGGGAAATCCATAGCTTGCTGAACAAGCCCAGTCTTTCCTTATAACTGGGTATAATGAAAACCCACTTAAAATCTGAAGGTTCTTTCATGAAAGAGCCATCACCCAAGACAAGGCAGTTCTGATTCACACATCAGCACTTCCACCTGCCCAGAGAACAGCCTGTCAAAGAGGTCCTGGCATCCCACTGCTGCTGACAAGGCTTTGTTTTCCTGCCCTTGAACATGGGCACCACCACCATTTGCCCCAGGGCAATGTCAAGCCTCACACATTAGGGCGGTGCTATTATGATCCCCATTTTACCTGAAGAAATGGAGGCCTAAAGAGATTACAGATTTCCTCAGGGTCATCTCAGAATGATGTTGGGCAGGTTTGAAAATATTTCTGATTCTGAGGACAGAACTTTTAACCATCCAGCTTTTAACTACAAACAACACACACACAACACACACAAATATGCACACACAAACACCTATATATATATATATATACACACACACACATAATCATACACACACACATATATATACTTCAAAAAGTCTGTGGAAATCGAATTAAAGTATGAGTTTATTTGGTGCAAAAACTTTTTAAATCTGTACATAGCTTTTTCATTTAAAAAAAAAAAAAGTATTTCCATGAACTTTTTGAAAACATACATACACATACCTGAAAGTTATATAGCTATTATATGTACATATTAAATATGACTTATTTATATATGTATATATACATTCATACATACAAATGTATTTACACATATATGGAAGTTATATGGATTATATTGTAGGGGAGTTTTTTTTTTTAGAGAGATTTTTGTTATAGGAGAAATGCATTAAATGAATTTATCTAATACACGTTTTATGGCATGGGAACCTTCATAAAGACATGAAGACCCAAAGACCTGGTTAGAATTGAACACGTATCTACTAGGTTGGACAAAGAGTACTAAATTATGAAGATGTGAGCAGAAGGCCTGGGCTCGGGCAGCTGACTGGCTAGAGAAGTGACTAGGACAATAAGGGTTGGTTTAACATGATCTGTTTGTACAGACTTTCCTGAGCGTCAACCTCCTGTCCTGGACGGTAAGAGTAACACTTTCCTTCTAGAATAGGGAAGGCATTTTTCATGTGAAAAACTTTTCTTCTGTTTTTAGAAAGGAGAAAGGTCCGAGTGATTGTGCACCTACTGTTTTCAAGTGCCTTTAACTCAAAATGGTCACTCTGCCAGGGCAGCGTATTTTGGGTGGCGTGTTAACTCCTTCAACATATGAGGGAGCATGTGTAAAGCTGTGAAAGGTTACAGGCCCTCCTGCTTATTGGGAAGCCATCTGTATCTTTATCTTAGTCGCTCATGCTTGTCTTTGCTGAGATCTGTTGATCTTTTTTAAGAGAGATTTTTGCTATAGGGTTCATGTGCTTGCTGGAGAGACAGGGAGAGACAGGGAGAGACAGAGAGGGAGACAGAGACAGAGAAAGCAGGAAATCACCCCCCACGGGGGGATGACTATACCACAATCCCTTCTCCTCCATTCTCCACTTGGGATTTGGGACACATACGCACATATGCATCTGGTGTGTGTTTTAAGCCAGGTCCAGGATTTGAACCGTGGTCAAATACATGGGAATCCAATGACATAACCATTATGCCATCTGCTGGTCCCAAGATCTGTTGGGTTAAAGTCTGAATGTCACAGAGCAATCCTCTGTCCAGCTCTCAGGGGAGAGATGGGAGGCATTGCTGGGTGGAGCCTCACTGCAGCTCCATAAACCACCACAGCATCTGTCCTCAGATGCAGAGACTGCCCCTTGAACAACTGTTTCCTGATCTCCACATGAGGTTTTTAGAGAGTGCGGCTCTAAGGGGTTAACAAAAAGCAGTGTCTGAGACAGGAGCTGGGGAACATTCTCACCTGGTTCTGGCATTTCCCTCAGGGCCCCCGAAAAGGGGACTGAGGTCTCCTTTCCCAGGAGGCAGAGCAGAGAGGGGTAGGGAATAACTCCAGGACATGTCCCCCTCCTGTCACCAAGTCCAGCTATGATTTCCAGCTTATGTACTGGCTTCTTCCAGGCATAAACGAGGCGCCCCCCACCCCAGGGTCTACGGGGTGCTTCAGCACATGCATGAAAGGTTCTCCAGTCTGCAACACTCAGAATCTCCTTTTCCACGACTGCAGATTGAGGTGAGGAGGGTTCTGGGATGCCCTGGTTCCCAGCCAGGCTCCAGCAGCGGCCTCTGTGTGGAAATAGACTCCACGTTTCAGACCCCTGCTGACAGGTGTCAGGGACACACCGAGCAACAAAAGGAACCACCGTGTCCTAGTCAGGAGTAATGACAAGCACGATCCAAACCACGAAACCACAAGAACTCCGGAGCACAAGGCACTACCCCCCGCCACCCCGCCCCCCCCCGCAAGCCGTTTTTTCCCCCCCGCCCCTCCAGTGGAAGCAATCTCTGACGGGGATGACCTAGAAATGCACCTCCTCTAGAGTGACCCGAGCGCCTAGGACTGAAGGCGGCCAAAAGGCTGGACGCATTCCACCGCATGGGGGCGCTGCGGCCCCAGGAATGGGAGCTGAGCCGGCAGCCTGCAGCTGAACTAATCCGGTGCTCCAAGCACCTTCCGTTTAATTTCCCTTTTCCAAGTGAAGAAGAATCGATGATACTTCAAAGCCACCATCGTGGATATTGTGAATCGTGACTATGTCGGAAAGCAGGAGAATCTGAGTTCAGTTAGATTTCCAAGCTCAGCAAGACAGAAGTAATCTGCTCGCACACCGTTCAGACAACTGCAGGACCCAGTTTAGAGCAAATCTCCTGATTCCTATGGATTGTCAGCAGCACCCCAAATGCCGGCGCTAATTACTTCCTAAAATATTGACCACTACATGTAATAACATCACCATTCATCCTAATCTTATTGTGCACATGCTGATAAAGCATTATTTTCAGTAACAACTAAACCAATTAAGTTTAAATGTAATTATCAATTCAGTTTTTATAGGAAAATAATAGAATTTAAACTATTGAACAAATGAACTTATATTAATACTAAGTGAAATTAAATTCCCATTATATTTTACTACACAGGAAAATCCACTGTTCAGGATTCCAGGGTCTTCCCTAAACTGAAGAACAGCCGAGGAGCTTAGTGCGCCATCTACTGGTAAGAAGTCTCTCTGCAGTCTGAAGAGACTCAGGATCCTGTGCCATTTAAATGAAGGGATAAAACTAAGGCGTTTTTGAGATGGAAAAAGTAAAGAAAGGAAGAGAAAGGGGCAAGGAGAGAAAGGCAGTGGGCTTGGCTCTGGGAAAATAATCCTGAGAATTTGCTATGAATTTGCATGTATATTGTAAATACAAAGTTATGATTATGTGACTTTACCACAAGCAGCACTCAGAGAAAGGGGTGAATTTAAGATTTGGGGTGGAGATTTGAGGAATACACAGAACAGCTCAGCTGAAAGTGTTGACATAAAGGCATTTTCAAAACAAAAAACATTAAATGCATGAAAATCAAAATAGTGTGGGAGAGTCTCCCTTTCTTTCCATCTCTGTCTCTGCGCATCTGTCTCCATGCAAGCACACACACATATAGAGAGAGAGGGAATAGGCATAGATGGAGAATACAACGCTATATCTATTCCCTTTCGTTCTCTCTCACTCGTGTGTGTGTGTGTGTGTGTGTGTGTGTGTGTGTGTGTAGATATATATATAGAGAGAAGCCGCACACATCAAGTGAGAATGAAGGCTAAGGTGAGTTCCTAAATACCCTTTAACCACGGAGTGACAAGAAGACATCTGAGAGTAAGATGGGAAGACAGACAGCAAAAGCCCAAGTGGCCTGCTTGACAATGGGCTATGAAAGGGGTTATCTTGAAGAGCACAGATCAGTTCAACAATTCAGATCAGATCGACAGCTCCCCAGCCTGTGGAAGCTTGTTCCTCAAGGCCCTGACCTCAATCAGAGATTGATGTGTCCCCTTCCTGCTCCTGGTTTTCTTTTCTTCTTCTTCTTCTTTTTTTTTTTTTTTTTAATTTGCTACATAAAAATCACATGCATTCACCAGAGAGAACCACAATTCCTTCTCCTCCATTCTCCTCTGAGGATTCGGGGCACACACGCTCATTCACCCAGTGCGTTTTTCTAAGTCGTCAGGTCTAGAACACAAGCTAAATGATGGCTGTTGGCCATCTACTTCTGGTTTTCTTTTTCTTTCTTTTTTCAATAAATATACACTTTATTTTATTTTTTATTTATTATTCTTTTTTCAATTTCACCACAGAGAGACAGAGAGAGAAAGGAAAAGTGAGAAAGCAAGCCACCAGGTCCAGGACTCCCATCGTGATCAGCCATGTGGGAGTCCAGTGCCCTTTACCTGCCGGTCCCTGCTCTTGGTTTTCTAATGATTATTCATAAGTTTATTATATGGTTATTGTACTTTTTGGGGATAAATTGAGGGAATAAATAATTGAATAAACAAAATTGTTTTGTTTCAAAATTCAAATGTTGTGATTTACAGTAAGTGCAGAAAAGTCTCTCCTAGAGGCTGACTAAATACACCTGGGACATACAAGGGATTCTTTAAAAAATTCACAGACAGGGATAGCAGGCAGCATGGTGGTTAAGGCACTGG